CACCACAGCGGCTTTGCGGCTGCATGCATCATTTTTACCCGACCGCACGCAAGAATCAACACAATCACTGCAGTGTACGGCAGTGTTTCCCAACACTTTTCCTGAAGGCAAGCCAACAGAACACATTTTCAAACTCTCACCCGATTAAACTCATTAGTAGAGACACCAAGACCAGATTTAGATGGGTCAAATAAGAGGAACATCCAAAATGTGTATTGTTGGTGTGCCTCCTGGAAAAGTGTTGGGAACCAGTGGTGTAAGGGGCCATTCTGCAGTCCACTGTTTTTCACTGTTTCATGAGTTCAAACTTACATACAATTTCGAGGGAGTAAAGTTTAATGCATATTTGGCGTGCTGTCCGGGGGGAGGGCTCCGAGCTCGGAGTTTAGCCCGAACCTAGAGTACTCCCCCCCCCCCCGTATGTAAATGGTTAGGACTAGAAGTGTGGAGAAGGGATGGTGGGGGGATGCTGCTAAACTGTCAACGAATTGAGGTGAGACTGCTGAGTCTATATACACCTCTTATCGTTGATTGCTGAGTGCTCTCCACTCGTGTTAATTATCTGAACGTGCTCCTCCCGAACTTTGTTAATAAAACATCATAAACATGGACTAGATGCTCATGTTGGACCATTGCTCGAGTTTTACATCTTTTGAAGTGTCCCATGCATGATGCAGATTATAAATACATGGCACTCAAGTTAAACGTTGTTCAACTTTAAAAAAAGACCAAAATTACAACCTCTTCACGTGCAGTATACATTTTGAATGTCGTTATACCAATGAGTACGTTTTCATGCACAAAAAAAAATTAATTATGAAAAACTTAATTTGAAATTCTTGATGTTAAAACAAACTGTTTATGTACTGTATATGAAGTGACAAAAGAACACAATGTTTAGGCTACAGGATTACAGCTTCTTATCAGTGTTGGGTGTTACAGTAAAAAATTAATCAATTATAGCTACAAATTATATCTTCAACAGTTATTGTATTACTTATCACTACGAAATCCCATATCAACTTCAACCAGTTGAACAATACAAGAACAGACATGAAACTGCTCTTTAAATTCTTTCAAATAAATATAAAATTGCATAAATTATTCTTAATCTGCCCAAAGTATTTAAACGAGAAGTTTACATTAAAAACATACGTTTTATCATTAGACATTAAATTTTGATGTTAAATCTTTCTTGTTTTAATTGCTCTAGTTAATACAGTATGTAATTACATCAGAAGTAGCCTAACTGTAGTTAAGTTACAGAAAAATTCTAAGTAATCCCTTACTTGAATTTTAAAGGGAAAAGTAATTAAATTACAGTAATTAAATACTTAGTAATGCATTACACCCATCACCGCTTATTAAGTAAAATCGATAAGACTGTGCATGTAAATTCAACCTTAATTTCTAAGTTCATATACGCTCTCAGAAAAAAAAGGTACAAAAGCTGTCACTGGGGTGGTAACCTTTTAAAAAATACTCCTTTGTAACTTATTTACCTCTAAAGGCTGCGTATTATTACCTCAAAGGTACATATTCGTAGCCAAAGTGTGCATACCTAAATGTATTAGAAACGTATGAAAGGGTTTTGTCTCAGTGACAGCTTTTGTACCATATAGTGTACTGCACTAAAGGACATTTAGTGATTTTGGCTGAATTATTTGCAGAAGTTTAATATTTAGAGTCAGAATGTTTGATGAATATCAATACAGTGCGGCCTTGCAGGCACTTGTGAGTCTCTTTAAGCTTTAAATATATGATGTAGAGTTTAGTCCAAAATGTTGATTTGTTTGTATATATACAGTGTGAAGACACATAGCACAAATGTGTGTGTGTGTGCTTGTAATGGTCACTGGGAGGAAAGAACTCTAGGGAATTTCTTACAGAGTGAAAAGCAGCAGTGCTAATGAGGGAAAGGGTGCCGTCAGTGTTAATACACTACGGAAGGTCAACCCACACAGATGCAAACACATTTCTCCTCTGCCAAAACTAACAGTCACTAAAAGACCTGTGGGAGTACTGTCACTAAATGAACATCGTGACGACATGGAATATCAATCAGAGCAAGAGATGGTGAAAGAGTGTGTGTGTGTGTGTGTGTGTGTGTGTGAGAGAGAGAGAGAGAGAGAGAGAGAGAGAGAGAGAGAGAGAGAGAGAGAGAGAGAGATAGAGAGAGAGAGACAGAGAGAGGGAGTGAAATGCAGTAGAACATTCTGTATTGACATCTTCTTTATATATATTGATTCCCCATTATGTTACAAACAAACCCAAGCTGACATTTTGTCATTGGCAATCATCTTAACACCAGGACGCGCCCTAATCTATAAACACACTTTCTTTCACATTCGCTCACACAAACACAGCGTTTAGCTATACCAAAAAATAAATAAATAATAGCTACATGTCACCTGTCATTGTGATTTACATGTACACCACCTTAAATTTTTAAGTAATGAACTTGGATGTTTGTCATTTCAACTTAAATTACATTAAACTGACTTTAGAAATTAGTTGAATCTTGTATAACTTATTTACTACAATGTACAATGAACTTAGTTCAAGCAATGTAAATATCACATGTTGTTATTGATCTTGTCATTTTTTACAGTGTATTTTCAACAAATTATTATAACAATGAGACAATTATCTTTCACTAATTTTAAAGTAATTTTCTCTTAGTTGACTAAATATAGTAGTTATTTCTCTCTGTTGATGAGATTTAAAATATTTTCTCATCATCCTGGACCTGCCTGTTACTGTAACACACATAAAACTTTAATGGAGCAGTTAATGTCAATAATTCCCGAGACCACTTACAAGAATAGGTCTTGATTATCTCTTTCTCTGCCTCTGTCCATGTCTATATCCGCTTTCTAATGGGAATAGGGTGTACAAGCTGCATATATTAGTAACTGGACAATAGTTAAAAGGTTCTGCTCTCTCTAATGGTGATTAAGAGACTTTGATGGGATATGGATATTTCAGCTGGCCGTAATGGTATTTGACATCATGAATTGAAGAAATAAGGACTGCTGCTCTCAGATTTTCTTACTGCTTTTTAGAGGTTAAGCTGAATGTGAAGGTTTGTCTATAATGCATAATCAAAAATATTGAAGCAAACCAGAATTTATACATTTTTAATGAAATATTTTTCCATATGCCAATCACCCACTTCTATGTGAAATAAGTGTTTACAGCCTTGCTTATCATTCATAACTAATGAGCAACTGCATCCATACAATCGGAGTCTAGAGCTCAAGATCACCTCTCCCTCTCAAACTCGGTTTTCCATACTTGTTCCCATTTTTCACTGTCATCTGCACCTACTTTCCTTTAGTGGTCCACAGCTTTTTCTTTTTCGGCCCTCTTTTTTTATCTTCTTTTGACACTCGCTATTTTTCAGCGAAAGGGACACAAAACTCCTCCTCCTCTCCCCTGGCCCTGTTAATCTCTGAGGGGAAAAGGCTCATTATCCTTCCCCTTAACCATCTTGTATCATTCTTCAGTCCCAAAGAAAGCCTATGAAAACCTCTAAGGCTACCTGTAAGTTATGCAAAAGATGAAATTGTAAAATCATACAGAGAACAATGCAATCCCACTAACCACTGTAGGTAAAATGAGGTTGCAAAAAAGTCAACACTTTCCATTGTACACATTCTGAATGCATAAAAATGGACGAAAGTAACATCTGAAGACCTTTCAAACATCAACTTGATTTTCATCATAAGGAGAAAGATCACATATGCATAGGGCAGATGCATAATTGATTTAAATTCTAATAAATTTATACAAGAATTTGTATCATTAAATCCTCTATTTTTTAGTAACCATTTAGTAACCAAATAGTCATGTAGCCTATTTAAAATATATATATTTTAAAGTAGCCAAATATTATCATTGCAAATAGCCTATTCCATGCAATATCTCAATTAATACGAGCTCATTAGAACTGCATGAATAATACATAAATAAAAAGCAAAATGCTGTTTACAATAGACAATAGACCAAATGAAATGTAAATTTTCCCATATACAATCCAAATAATAGAAAATGCATAGGCTGCATGCATAAATTATCCAGAAAATAATTTCTTTATACATTTACAGAACATTTCCATTGTATTCTCAGACTGTCACATGCCCAGTAAACAGCAGCTTGCTTATGCAGTTATGCCTCTTCTCAATTCAGACAACACCCATCTCCTCCTACTCCACCCCCTCCTTCTCCATCCTCCTTCCTTCTCTGTTTTCATCTTTATGTGGCCACCGAACAACCGGAAAGTTCCCGCAAAGAAAACATTAACGGAGCAAGTCGTCCGTTTGCGCTTCGCCCGTCTCTAAGAGCAAAAGACAAGGTGCAAATCACATTATACACGATGTATGTGAACATCAATTTAATAAGGTTATAGCCGATCACACGTGCAACTGTCTAAACATGACCCTCACACTATATGATACATTTATATTTGTGAGCCAAACATAAGATGTCTAAATAGCATAAATGCTCATTTCTCTGGTCTCTGCAGCTGCTCTGATTCTCTCCTCTCTCCCCTCGATCCGCCGGCCCCGGAATCGATCCTGCGGAGATCGATAAGTTGGCATGAATATTCCCAGCTCACCGCGAGTTTAGTTCGGGGGAGACGGAGGCAGAGGCAGAGGCGAGAGAAGGAGACGGACGGATGCGGAGCCCATCGAGAGACAGGAATATATTCAGGAAACACCTTAACAAAACAAAACCGACCTGCCCTGCATTTCGAAGCGCGACAGTGCAGTGCTAGTTTTGCTGTAGACAAACTTGACTCGCGTCGTTTGGACTAAACTGAAATTTCGGAAAGGGCGGCAAGCGCGCGCGACACAAACAGAAAACGGCACTTGAGGATGTTTCATTCACACGGTGAATACGGGGATTATGCCACTGAGTGGGATGAACTAGGGAGGTTTCACCGGATTCGGGATTGGGAGGGAAGAAAAGGTGGTTGTTGTGGAAGAAAGCCTTACCGGAGTGAGAGCGGAGAGCCAGCGGGGACTTGAGGCGCCAGGCGTGGAGATCAGAGGCAGTTCTCGGCAAGACAAACGGCACCGGCAAAGGAACAAACATGATCCGTCTTCTTGTCTGGTTCTTATCAGATGCTCTTTTTGCTGTTGGTTTTTCTTTGCTATTTTAGCAGTTGTGGCAAGATAGGCTTTTTTTCTCTCACTTAAATCATTGGGTTCCGAGGCGTTTCTGACATAAAACTGTTTATTCATATTATAGCGTTTATACTTTCCTTTTTCGCTTGTAGTTTACTTTTGATCTACATGCATAGATACGCAGACGCGCGCGCAGCCCGATTGTATTTTCCCAGCGCGCGCACACAGGCGGATAGACGGATTGAAACAAGACAAACGTGTGTTATTTTTGACTATTACTTCACGTTTGTCTATTTGTTTTGGTATTAAGCTACAGTATTTGGTATACTGTTCGATCTGCTTGCCGAACATAGGCTATATGTATCTGTCACTCAAAAGCATAGGCTAATTATGTTTGCGAATTATGTTAGGTATAACTGCATATCGCGATTCTCCCGTTCTCTCCTGTAGTGTTTCTGTCCTTGTCGACACTGTTCAGCTGGCCTGCTGCTTCACCCCTTGGTTGCAGTCGCTTTAACTTTGGTTATCTGCTTGTAAAATAAACTGACCTTTCTGCATTTACTAGGTATAGGCTAATAAAGGAAAGAAAAAAAAAAAGATTTCACACCCTGACTGTATAACGTATAAAAGACAGCGGATATTGTTATTACTTGGATATGTGGTGCATTTTTTGGTTAATTTATTTGGTCTAGCTCTTATATAGCTCTCTTCCTTGTTCTAGCAGCTACAGGTCACATTCATTTACACAAAGTAAACGTTGTTAAAATCGTCTGCTTATTTTGCTCATTTAAATTAAAAATCTATAGAAAAATAAGGCAACTCAACGTGCTCGCCGGATTCGCCCCTCCTCCCACGCACCTTGTCACACGCCAGTAATTAAAACGCAATCAATCGATACATGACTAAATAAGGCAAACAAATGAATAAAGCACGAAAACATCAGGGGAAAAGAGCTCGATATGTCGCTGGTTTATAAGAACACTTGCCTATATTTCCGTCCATCCGCCTGCGTGTTTTGGTCTGTCTGTCTGCCTGTTCCCGTTATTTGGGAACCCCAATATCTTATTCGTGCACGTTCTCCTCCCATACGCTCGCGCGCTCTGATTCCACGCTGCCTGCAACATTGAAGCGCGAGCGGAGCCGTTACAACTCTCACATCACCACCACCCCACCCCCACCTCTCTCTCTCTCTCTCTCTCTCTCTCTCTCTCTCTCTCTCTCTCTCTCTCTCTCTCTCTCTCTCTCTCTCTCTCTCTCTCTCTCTCTCTCTCTCTCTCTCTCTCTCTCTCTCTCTCTCTCTCTCTCTCTCTCTCTCTCTCTCTCTCTCTCTCTCTCTAACGGTTCCGTACCCCTGTGCTTGCCTCGCTGAAAGGTAAAATCACACATGGACTGATACGAGCTACAAACATCTCTCTCCAATAATACTAATTCACCTAAGAGTAAAACACAACGCTGCTCATTAATACAGCAAACCCAGTTTTAACATATTAATACAAAAAAAGAAAGCCAACCCATCAGTGACCACGTTTGCATGCATGCACACCATTTTCAGATTAAGTTCCACATTCATTCTATGGACAAAAGACATTTTTCTTTTTTCAATATGTTCTTTTGTGCTCCATATGAAAATCATACAGGTTTGGAACAACATCAGAGTGAGTAAATGACGGAGTTTTTGGGTGAACTATATTTTTGATCAACTCGTTACACTTTATTTTAAGGTGTCAGTATTACGTTGTAATTATACTTTAAGTACTGAGTAATAATATAACTAACTACATGTTACTATAGGGTTATGTTTAGGATGAGGGTTTGGTTGAGGGTTAATTGCATGTAATTAATTATGCATAATTTATAGTTATTAATACAGTTACTACATGTAACTGTAACAATGACACTGTAAAATAAAGTGTTAACTTCAACTCATTAACTGTCATTCATTCATGATTCATTCAAACAGGAGCACAATAAATGGCAAAATTTAGGTCATGATTTTTTTAAAGTTGCAAATAAAAATGTGTTTCTTCAATGTATTTAATACGGTAAATGCAGGTTGATTGAACCTATAATCACCTTTGTTTGAACATGCAGGCCTACAATTCTGAATGAAAGTTCAGTTAAGGTCTAAAAAGGTGTTCACAGTCTGATTAACAAAGCCATTTGTGAGCTGATGTGTTCAGTTCATAACTGTATTGGCTTATTACTGACAAAAAAATCGACCAAATTCTGATTATTATCAGAATATGCAGAAATGCAGTATTTGTTTTTGGACACACCTGAGATTCCCTTAATTTCCCCTAAAGTCCCACAGACAGTTACATATTTTTTTCCATCAATAAACATCGTTTACCAATAATGATACAGAACAACAGCAGAAGCAAAACTGGCTGATCTTAGGAGAGCCAGTGTTTTATGTTTCTCAGCTCTGTTTCTGCGCACCCCAACAGCACACATTCCTCATTATACTCATTACAATACTGAAAGCCCTGAAATAGGTGTGTCAGATGAGGGAGACATCCAAAAAGTGTACTGTTGGGGAGGCCTCCGTGCAGGACCAGGGTTGGGAAACACTGTGCTAGGAAATCTCGACATGCCAGCAAACCTCCCGGGGGCCTTAATCAGCGAGCGGCGCTGCTTCTCTCTCCTACCACCAATTCATCAGGCCCTGTCAATTACAAACCATGCTGCGGCGCACTTACACACAAGATTATTGTCAATATAGATTTTTAAATAGAAAAATCTATACGCTAAACACTCCAGTCGATAGGAGTAAATCGATTCCACTAGGCAGCAAAACTCTCTGTGAGCTCAGGCTCAGAAGTCTTGGCAATGACCGAGATGTAAACCAAAACACAAATGATGCATTTTGGACTCTACTTGCCACATATAATGACGTAGACATTGTGTTGTTTCGCATTACTAATAAAAGTGATACAATTACTCCTCTTGTTGAAGACCATGTTGTGTTCATTTTTGGGGGGTCTCTACGTCTGCAACAAACCGCTTTCCATCCTTATTTTGTTCAATAAAAGGATGTGTTTCATTGTCCCTGTCCATCTCTTGAATCTCGCTATTGACAGATGACATCTGCAGGTCAAGTGAAACAGATGAAAAGGAGTGACCGGTTGTCCCTCGCATACCCCCTTGACGCGCTGAGGTAACGGGGGCGCTCGGAGCCCCTCCCTCCAGTACTCCTTTCAGACAAAAGCAATTATTTCTTGTAGAATATAGTGTGGTTGTGCACATCTAAGAGAAGGAGAGAGGGACTGGAGGGGAAGAGAGAGTGCGAAATTGAGGGAGAGGAAAATAAGATGGTGTTGGAAGGATAGGGAGCTAACACCTCCTTCCTATAGCTGTGCTCTCCTCATCCAAACATACCTAGCTATTGTTTATGTGGCTTCCTGGAGTGATGGGAAAGAAAAGCTGTTTCTTATTCACATACACCAGAGGAGAACTGGCCCAGGGACTGAGCCTGGTTTCTCCCAAGGTTCTTTTTCTCCATTCTGACACCAGTTTGGGTTCCTTGCCACTGTCGCCTCTGGCTTGCTTAGTTGGGGACACTTAACATTCAACAATATTATTGATCTGATGTACTGACACTGTTGAATGAGAACTGAACTGAGTTGAACGATGACATTATTTTTTGCAGAACTGCTTTATAGATGAAATGAACTAATGAACTAATAATTGATGATCTTTACAACGGTACTGAATCAACACTGAACTGACTTCAGCTGAACAAGTGTATCAAGTGTTCACTAAAGCTGCTTTGAAACAATCTGTATTGTATAAAAGCGCTATATAAATAAAGGTGACTTGGCTGACTTGACATACACACTTAAATATGTTCACATATAATTGTGAATATACACAAATGAATCACCGCAGACCAAACTGTGAATGTGATATGCTTGCAAATACTATTTTATCGATACTATCGATACTATTTTCTCTGTTCACCCAAAAATGAAAAATCTGTAATCTTTTACTCACCCTCATGTTGTTCAGAACATGTATGAATGACTTTTTCTGTTTCTTTCTTTCTTTCTTTCTTTCTTTCTTTCTTTCTTTCTTTCTTTCTTTCTTTCTTTCTTTCTTTCTTTCTTTCTTTCTTTCTTTCTTTCTTTCTTTCTTCTTCTTTCTCTCCATACAATGAAAGTAAATTATATATATATTGGTATCCGCTTCCATGAAGAACGATTATAATCCATGGTTCCCACTAAGAAAACAAATGTTCTCTAAAATGTTTTTCAACAGCACAAAAATGGTTCTTCTATAGCATTGCTGTGAAAACCTTGGAAGCTTTATTTTTAAGCGTATATAACACACATACAACTTATGACTTCATGTTATCCAGTTATCATATGCATACCCATAACAAATCCAAATGAAATCCTGAACAAATGTAAGTTTATCAAAAACCCAGTGAAGAAAAACTTCATTGATCGACTACTAAAAACAACATCGCTTCTGAATTTTCCACACAGTGCTGTGAAAATTGACAAAACGGTTGCCTGTCATTTTGCTCATTGCTTCAACTGGAATTAATTATTTAGATGAGATCACAAGCATCCTTAAAACACAGTTTGCTGCTAGGCAATTGCCTCTCTACCAAAGAGCGGTGACAGCTTTAGCACGCAGATCATCAGATGACTCCACACGAGCGTGGAATGAAACGCATGCATGATTAATGCTGCTGTGTTTGTTATTGATGATTAAACTGTCACGTCTTGACAACTGCAGAAATATTCCATGCTTATGCGCACAGGAAATAATAAATTCTCTTAGGCTATAACACACATTATCCAGACAGAGACATATAGCAGAGTGGAAAGTATGATTAATTTAATGGAGGTAAAAAGAGCAGGCTGGGAGAATGTAAGAATAAGCAGTTTTTTATGTGTGCTTGTGGGTTTGTGATTGCTGTTGCTAAACAATGATGCCACGTTGACAGATGAGCAAGTCAGATTAGATTCGCTTTTATCAACAAAATGGAAGTCTAATCAATAATATCTCTCTGCTACATCATCCCATCATTCCGTCATACATACAGACATATTCAAAGAGCTCAGAAAGAGTT